AACCAATACATAGACTTAATGTTTATAACAAATGATAATATAGTGGATAAAGGGTTTCGATTGAGTTATTAACAGTTTCAGTTCATACAAACAGTACTGTATTATTATTAATATTTATTGTTTATAACAATTATTTATATCAGCTTTTTATTTATTCATTTTCATTTAGATTATGAATTCATTTTATTAGTAATTGAATATATAATTATTTAAAACTATTAATTCGTATATTTGTTAATTTTGTATATCTATAGAGGGGGTAGATTTGCGTGGATTAGCTGATGGTAGTGGTCTTAATTAGGATAATCGGTTACTTATAGAAAATATTATTAAAAATAATAAATTATTATTGCTAAACTAAAATGAATTAGAAATAATGGGTTTTGTAATAATTTGGTAAAATATAAAATAACAATTTCTGTTAAAAAATAATATTCATTTTAATGGCTCTAAAATATTATAAGAACTTAAACATTTTAAATAAACATTTTCTTATTTGAAATATGTTATAGAGATAATAAAATTGAGAATATAAATTGACCTATTACATTCAGACTTTTTATTCTTAAAAAGTTCATGTAACATATTACATATTGTACACAATATTATTTATATTATTATACAACTATAGAAATGCTTAAAACTATTGATTTAAGTGAACCCATACCCCCTGAATGGCGTGTAAGGGGTGCTGACAGTCATCTCTATTCAATTGGTTTATCACTATTTCAACCGAAATCTCATTTCAAAAGGAAATGGTTTTATAATCCATATTTTGGGTATTTTATAATATTTAGTAATTTAATTAAATATATTATTTTATTCATTATTAACCACAAAAATATACAGTTTTCACAATTATTTCATGAACTAATGTGCAACGTTGATCATTTGTTAGGCACTGGTGTAATATGTACGACCATATTCATTATGGTGGATATATTTTATATAATGTGTATATTATTAAATTATTACAATTATATGAATGGTATAAAACCCACGGATTTGAGAGTATTTGAAATGATAAGTGGATTCATAGCACCAAAAAGTATTGGTTTATGCGATAAAGTTATGGTTTTCAAATTATGTCGAAAATTCTCAAAATTAATAAAATTAGTTAAATATTTAATATATTTTATTATTGTGATAGATATACTGTTTTTATATTATTTGTTTAATATAAAAAGCTTAATTCATTTTATTTTACATCTAATAATCAACATAATACCCATGACAATATATACTAATTACATATATAGTTTACTTATTTTTCAATTGTTATATTATTATATTATTGTTCATTATTTGATATACAAATTAATTTCTATTAACACATTCATCAAGGAACTTGCACAAAATAACAATAAAAGAAAAAACAATTTGTTTATAATAACAAAAATAATTAGAGATCTGTATGATATATATTTGGAAATTAATGAATATAACAATAATTATTGGTCTAAATATTTGCTAATTGTTTGGATAACCTTTGGTACGATTATTAGTTTTGCGTGTGATTTGGCATTTAGTGGTAATGATAATATAATTATTAAAGTCGTTTGTATTATTGGTTTTTGTTATTTTGGATCAGTGCTATTATTTATAATACAAATCTCATCCAAAGTCTACATTGAAGTCAATAATACATATATTTTATTGAATTCACTCTTATTATTAAAATATAAATTTGGAATTATTTTAAAATTAAAGGTAAAAAACATATTTATAATTCATTTAAATGTAAAATGAAA